TTTTATTCGAAAATTCATATTTTTTAAACTACAAAAAAATATGAATTTTCGAATAGTTATGAGATCCACGCCTTTATATTTCATTCAGTGCTAAAATTGTTCATATTATTATGCGTATTTTGACCTTGAATATGAACGTACACTTTTTTACCTAACTCACTTTAAAAGTATTTATTTGGTTATTTATAGTGACATGAGTGGGAGCTTAGTACAAATAAATGTGTCTAGCCTAAATTTTTGGAATTTTCTAGCCTTATGTGTTTAGCTGAAGACAAATATGACTCATATTTCAGTTTCTTTTACATTATTTATGTGCATAATCGTTATACAAGATGTTTACTATTATCATCTTTAATGTCCACCTATTATCACTGAGGTATACTTCAATTTTATTACTGCTTTTAAAGCCATATAAGCATCTTAATTTATATGCATAATTATAGTAAATTAGCTGCAAAGATAAAAATATAAATTAATTCCCAATTTAATATTAATGTTTACAGATTATATTGGGCACAAGTTCTTAATAAAACCGCGGCGAAACCTGATACATATCTATAATAAGTATTTGTATAGCCGTCTAATTCGTTGTAAAAAGCCCCGTCACCTGACTTACGGCATTATAATTACGCCGGCGGTACGTAGATAAAGTTTTTTTTAATTTTCTAGGGCAAGCCGACTAAATTTCGAGCGAAGGTTAATCCGCGCCCACACGCTGCGCACGAGGCGGTAATCGTTCATTTGAATTACGATTACGTAGACGAATATGCATGAGGATATTATCGCACCATTGATTTTAAATGGGATAAGCGATCGAGACTCATACCGGTCTCGCCCGATCATCAATTAGGAATCGTAAGCTGGTGTGAATAATGTTTAATATTCAACAACTAATACCGATTCCTGACACCTGCTGCGAGAGGTTACACTATTACACTTTCATCGCACATTTTGTGCTTGTTATTTTTTATTGCTTCCGCCATAAAACTGTAGCACATTATTAGACCCGCTATTAGACCTCCGAAATCTAGCCAAGACTTTTCTTGTCGACCATTCTTTTTTATTTCGCCCACATTTTTCAACGTCCGATTCTTGTTAACTAATAACTATTCAACGAGGTGACTAAACGATTATTATATTCCGTGATACTTTTTGAAAGGGTTTCGAAATAATTAGCTTATTTATATTCCTGTATAACTTGCGTTTGATACGTCTCACGATGCTTGGTTCAGTGTTACTTTCACGAACTGAGTCACGTAAACCTACCTTATACTTGGAACTGCAAGTTACATCGAACTCAGACTATAATGCCTTTATGAACACTAATAGGAGATAAGTAATAAATTCTTGAAACTTCTAACAATGTGGTCCCGTAGCAAGAATTATAGATTCACTTTGTGTTTTCGAATAGGTAATGTAAAAAAATCTTAAAGTAAAAGTAAAAAAAATAAGATAGTATAGTCACTGATTGCATTCGTATTGAGTTGGGGACAAAGTTTGAAATCTATAACAATAGTTGAATGTGGGCGAGCACGCAAATTTCGCTCATTGTATAAGTCTATAAAATCGAAATGATTCGTCTCGTCAAAGTTTGTGTCTTTCGTTTGTATTTCAATATCGAAGTTCAGGGATCGATTGTCGCTCGAGTCAAAGTATTTACGAGTAAAATGATAGTTGGAGAGATCTCGATAACAGAAAGTTTATTAGAATCGATACTTCAAGTTTGGAAAATACATTTAACATTTTCATCACGTCAGTATCACGGCTGGCGTACATAGAGCTCATCGTTTGGATTGAATATAATTGTGAAAGCTCCATTTATCTTAACAGGCCGATGTCAAGGACAGATCTGAAGTACAAAGGGCTTGGTTACATGTGAACTTGGCTTGGGGGCGTCGACAATAGCACCGGCGTCCCAACAATAAGAGGTCTAAAATTTCACCGTGTCTTCCAGTGAGAGATCGGTTAATGAATTGGGTCCATTATTTAGGCTGTCAAGCTTCATGTCTGCGACGGATGTGGTACCGAAGAAAGATCCTATCTGTAAATTGTTTGTGATAATCCTTGAATGGAAGGTTTCGATTCAA